TGATCTAAGACAAGTAACTAAGAGCCCATGGATAACCATGGATGAAAAGGGTGCTAATACCTTCCCTTTTCATAATCTACCCCCCGAACCTACGAAAACATCTCAAAGGTCTTTCCTGTGCTTTTTGACCTTTCCTTAGGATAAAATAAAAAGTCGGTGGCGACTCTTGCTCAACCGAACAAATGCGAACACAAACGCAAAATCCAAGTCAGTTCTCCCACCGTATCACACAATATTATAGAGGCTCCTTCTCATATATCTCCGGATGCAGGCTAACACGGACTCATCCTAGAACAGTCCTACACAAGCTCTTTCTAATATATTCTCAGATAATGGTTAATTCCATTATCCCAACAAGTTACTGTGAAGCATGGATTTCTACCATAAAATAGAAAACTTTCAAAGATAACTCTTCGGCAGAGCCTTGGACAACTGAAGCTCCTAGAATCTATTTCCCACAAAGTTTTCCTCAAGCAGGAGAACAATAGAAACCCACATTCCCCAGCAGACTCCTCCTCAAACAGCAGGAACAGGAACCCCCAAAGGAACCATGTGTGAAATCAGCATCTACTTTGGATGGCATCTTTAAGCCCATATCTGACAACTCTCTGTCATTTTCTCTAAATGGGATCTGTAAGCCCATTCTCGATATTATCAACCATTAGTGTTACTACATGCGAGTGAAAATTTCTAGGAACTCTAGTGTTCAATCATCTTCCACCTTCAGATCACGAAAGGCAGATAAGCCAATCTAAATCTTCAGGTTTAAGAAGATCAAACACGGGCAGCTGTTGTACCCCAAAATTAGCCCTCACATCTCTCAAAGATTTTTCTCACAAAATTTCCACTAAGTCAAGGCTGCAAAACATTTGCTTCGATTGAGCACCTAATCTCCTTAAAGCTTGCTTCAAACTTCCAAGCTTCGATTGAAGCCTTGGCCTTTTGCTTGTTTGCTGCATACAAGCTTCGACTAGGCATTTTTTTCCTTTGAAACAGCCTCCTTCGATTCAAAAGGGAATGGCCTCTTGTTGGTGCTCCTTCGATTTGGGAGTTAGTGGCTTCCTACTGGCTTTTTTCGATTCATAGGGTGTTGGCTTCTTACTAGTTTCTTTCGATTCAGAAGGTGTTGGCAATGGCCTCCTGCATACATCCTTCGATTGCACCATTGGCTTTACATGCTTGCTTGATTCATAATGCAATGGTTACCTGCATTCCTGCTTCGATTGAGCAAGGGCCTCTGCAGATTTGTCTTGATGACTACCTGCATGCAATCTTGATTCCTGATTCGATTGTGCATTTGATTTCTTTGGAGCAATCTTGATTCTTGTTTCGATTGGGCAGTATCTCCCTTGGAAAGTTCGTTTCGACACACATAGTTTTTTAATTTGTTGGCCCATTCGAAGGAATTGTAAGTGATGCACACAAGTGATGCACGTGGTCCCTTCAAAAGAGCACACACATTGGTTCAAAATGAAGGATACGCATATTTCTGGCCAAAACGAAAGAGAAATATGCAAAGATGCTGGATGGCCCAAAGTCCCACATATTGCCATACTCAAGCTCCCTGCACAAGCATTCATACTGAAGGAAGTTTCGTTAGCCTGGAAAGAGTTTTCATTGGGGCTAGCTGAGTAGAGGCTCAATCGAAGAGGCCCCAATGATGAGACTTAAGCCATTCGAAGGACACACCTTGGTGGCCCATTCGAAGAGGGACCAAGGCATACATATGGACTATTCGAAAGACACTTAAAAATCCATTTGAAGGAGACATTCAAAAGACCCATTCGAAGGATATACAAGAGGTACAATTGAAAGGTAGGGACTGAAGGTATTCTAAAGTCAAAGGTGTCCACATTCATTCAAGTTCAAAAACAGACAAGAATCCCATGTCTTTTGCCAAAATTCAAATTCTCATTCATGGCCTTAAAGAACATGTTTATGGTTGTTTACTACCTTGCTACCTTGTCCCCTCCTTCCCCTCTATATAAGGAGCACACTAGCAAGCTCAAAGGAGGACGATAAAAATAGGAGAGACCCACAAGAAAGAAAGACATGCACACGCTGCCTCATAAGCATACTGAAACAATCAAAGTCCTTACAAATAGTTTCAATCGAAGGAGTCTTAGCAACACCCTATTCACTCCCTAAAGTCTGCAGGAAGTGTTCCCAATCACCAGCCCCTAAGCAAGCATCTCCACGCCCAGAAGTGATAAATTGAAGCTTCCAACTGTTGTTAAGATTGGTAAAGAGATCAAACTTTGTATGTGCATGATATATTAAGGACCTGGGTTCGATACCCAAGTCTGTATTTGTTTTGTTTCTAACATTTGTTGCAGATCCAGCCTGAATAGGCCAAAGCACGCAAGATCGAAGGACCTGGGTTTGATACCCATGTCCTGCATCCTTATTTGGCTAATATTTGTCTTGCATTTTCAAACTGAAAGGCAACATCCACCCCTAGATCGAAAAGCAAAACATCCCTTCTTGGATCTAAAAAAATCACATTCCCCTCTAGATTGAAAGGCCCATCATTATACCTGAATCAAAAGGCCATGTTTTCCCTTTGAATCGAAGGAGGGTTCTTCTATCTTTAATTTTGCTTTATTCATTTCTTTATTGATTTTAAATTAACTTTAAATAAAAAAAGATCACAAAAAAGTATTAATTTAGTATTTTTAATTAAACTAATTTTGTAAATAAATTAAATAAATATTTTAACTACTTTCTTTAATTTAAAATAAATTAAAAATTTTAGGATCTAATTTAGTTTTAATTATTTTCTTTTCATAATAAAAACAACAAAGAAACTTAATTTTAGTTAATTTTGTTTTCTAATTAAATTTTAGGTATTAATTTCACTTAGTATTTTCTTAAAATAAACAAAACCAAAAAAAATATTTTTCTTGTTTACTTAGAAATTTTCTTAGGGTTTTAGACGTCCGTCTCTATTTCGCGTGCATTATTTTGTTCTCGCATTTATTATAATAATATACCTGCTGACAGTATGTAATAGATTAAACTAGGGCTTTTACTGCTTTTCTTTACTTTCTTTCCCCCATTTGGACATGTAAATACCCCTCCCTAAAGCATTGTAATAACGTAGGATTTAAATTCCCGCACTTTAAATTTCTGCAAAATATTAACTGTTAGTAATTAGGCTTGTATGAAAAGACTGACATCAAACGCTAGCAAACTTAACACAAGACTAAAATAACTGAACATAATACACCATGCACATATACACCTCTAGGGTACCCCAATTTGGTTGCCTTGGAAAAACGGTCACAATTCTCGAAACGTGAGAAGTTTTAGTGGTTGTCCTCTAGTTTGAAAGATCACAAGTCCTTCGATGACCCTCTCAATGTTGCCTCGGTTAAAAGTGATCTTGGAACTTTAGGATAATTACTAAAATTCCTTGCCAAGTTACCTTCGTGACCGTAACGTCCCTTTAAATGTCCCTCTTACATCCAACGACTAGGGCTACCTACTCACTAATAGTATATTAGCGTTGTATAAAGGATAATAGGAAAAGAACAGACCTTTTCGAGTCCAAGTAGATAGCTGTTAAATGCTTGCTCAAGTAAAACAAACTTTTTACACTTACACATTTCAAAAACAACTTTCAAAAAAACATTTGCTTTGTCAACACTCTTGAGGACTGATACAAGTGTTATCACAAAGCGAATCGCCGCACTAAGGCATTTCAAAACATTTTTTAAAACACACAAAGAACAAAGTACTTTCAAAATGAGCTAAGCATCTAAGAGCCCGTATAAAACTACGGATGGAAAGGGTGTTAACACCTTCCCTTTCCATAATCTACCCCCCTTACTCAGAAAATTCTCGAAAATATCTTTTTCTGTTCTTTTCACCCTTTCCTTAATTTGGATAAAAGAAAAGTTGGTGGCGACTCTTACTTACCGCAACATTTGCGAACGCAAATGCAAAACCAGTATAAACAGTCGGTTCTGCCACCGTATCACAGTGATGTTGCACCGAACTGAGTTAACAATTATCTGTATTATTTATCATTCTGCAATTTAATTTTGCATAAGTTACAATTTTGATATATTAAGTTCTGTCTGTCAACAAATGTCGTAACATTTGTCTTGAAATTATGTTCTGATGGTGGCACATAAGTATTGACATGTTTTAAAGTGCCAGAAATTCAGTTTCTAATTAGGTGATTTGAGTAGCTAGTGTCCATATACCACCAGTTTACCAAATATCCACCATAAGATTCAAAAGTCATCAATATAATAGGTTCATTCATCATCAAAATATCCTCTTGATATGTTTGCTTATTCAGACTTTCTTTCCTTGTTTGACCAACATTTAGCAGCAAAGTGGTCAAACCTATTACAGCTGTAACACTCAAACTTTCACTACTACGAAAAAGGTATTTAACAACAATTGGAAAAGATATATAATCACATAGGTCCAGGCGTTGTTATGTAGAGTGTTATTATAAATGTGTTACCTACAATCATGGTCCTGGGACCTTTGTAGTATACTGGAAAGCGCACGCGATATCATAACGATTAGTTAACTCAACCATTGTGATAGACCTAAAGGTCCCAGGTTCGATTCACTACATCGATATTTTGGAACATAAATTACAATTTATCACAGTTACTATAGATAACCGTTATGTAAAATACCCATAGTTTATTATATAATACGCAGGTTGCTTGTTTTCCCATACACCTCATTAAAGAACTACAACCATTCAAATTGATGAAGAAGTATATAATTTGAAAATTAAACTATTCTCGAAAACCAACTTAAATCAACCACTATTTTTTGAATTTCATGTCTCTCATCATTCATTTCTTTCTCTTTAACACATAAAATTTGGTTCAATAGTATGATTCCTTCATTGCATCAATTCCTTCTATTCTAGTTTAATTTGAATAACAAAAATTTATTGGCTAACTCTACCTCGTCATCGTCTCTTATCATCGTGATTGTTATGATGACTTATCATCATAACAATCACGATGATAAGCGGTGACAATGAGGTAGAATTATCCAATAAATTTATGTTATTAAAATTAAACTAGAATAAAAGATATCGATGTAATGAAGTAATCATATCATTGAACCGTATTCTATATGTTGGGGAGCATGAAATGAATGATGAGACGCATACAATTCAGAAAACATCGATTGATATAAGTTGGTTTTCAAATACATCTTAATTTACATATTATAAGTTTCTATGTCAATTTAAGTGAATGTATTTTCATTGAAAGATTAGTGAAACAAACAATCTACATAATATTTAATAAATTAAACTTCATCTATTATCAACCTGTATAAGAATTTAAAGAACAAAACATTGTTAAGTCTCAAGAAGCCTTTTTCTTACGACTTAGCAATGTTTTGTTCTTGTTTTGAGAATATTTGTCAACAACATACAACGACACAACAAATACATACAACAAAATAAAAAACATATATTTTAGCAACAAAACACTAACAACATACAATATCACAAGATATATTAAATTATTTCAAGAACGCACCTTTTATTGAAAATAATCTTGGAACTGTAACAAATTATGAAGTTCATCTATTTTTTGATGCTATGAAAAATAAATACAAGGTGGATGAAGTTTCCACAATAACTTCATACTTGTATTTTTTTTCCATAGCAACACAAACCATATGTACCATAGCCAAAGTAAGCGCTTTGTTAAGGTGGTGAAGACGAATCTGAAAAAAATGAGAACATTCAACACCTTATCAACTCATACTATACGCTTGCTATCACCATCATCACTATGTATCTTCCTCTTAACCATCAAACACCATAATCTACAAGAAAACACAACAAACTTCAACCATGAACATCATCACAATACAACCAATAACCATAACATCATATTATTACACACCCACGTATATACATGGCCAAACCGATTTCAAAAAAAATTCAATTTGCAAAATAAACTCACAAAAAAAATTCAATCAAAATAGATTCTCACACGCTTCAACTTTCCACACGTACACACAAACTCTATAAAGCAACATACTGACTCATTGCAATGAATATACCATTTTCCTATTGTTACGCTGCTGAAGTTGAAACCAAACCCTAAAACTATAATCCTAACTTATAAGCATCAAAAACATCCGGAAGAAGAGTAGAAAGAAGAGAGCAAGTGAAGAGTAAAGAGTGATAGAAAGAGAGAGAAAAAAAACATACCATCGTTGACGCTGTCGGATTCGTTGAATATTGCTCCGGTCAGGCATCTTTTAAGATTCCTTTAAAAGTTTTCTATTTAAGGTTAGTGGTCACCAGAGAAAATTGATGCACATAAGTTGATGATATGTTAGAGTTTTCTTTAGAGAGAAACGACTATTACGAACTGAGTGATAGATACTTTCATTTATATATAAAAATATCACTTTTTATGACGCTTGACAAGGCAAACCGTGATGATATATTATTTTAAATAAAAACAATATATATCACAACGGTTAAACAAAACAACCGTAATGATATCCCTTTTATTTTTTGTTTAAAAATAAATAAAAAAGAAAAGGCGCATCTTAGCGTTAAAGGAATACAATATTTGAGGACGCTGAGGTTCGAACCCATGAAAGCTTGATTGTATCACCACGGTGAGTTTACTTACCGTTATTATATCCTAACAATTTTAATTAAAAAATAAAAAAATATTAGTGCCTGAATTCAAAGATGCCGCCACAATGTTTGGAAGAACCGTGTTGGGGTGTTGTTGTATGCGCGTTTTATAGTAGTGTTTATCTTATCAAGCTTCTCCTTTCCTTTCTGATATTTTTTTCTCATCAGAGTTGGAGGCTTCTGACTTCTGAGAAGCACCATGTCTCTTCTTGGCCTCTGACCAAGACTGCTTTTGATTCCTCTTACCAAAAGACGCTTTTAAAGCCTACTATACCTCTCTTTCAGAGTTTCTCTCAGTCAGATGCAACTCTTGTGCCTCTAGACTACTATAGCTCTTTAATTCTCATGGTACCAAGGTTCTTAGAATATTCAATTGCTACAACAATATAATCAAATTGAGGAGTAAGTGACCTCAGTACCTTTTCAATGATTGCTTGTTGAAAGATCATTTCTCCACAAGACTTCATCTCATTTATGATCAGAATTACTCTAGAGACGTAATCAGGTATGTTCTCGTTGTTCTTCATGTTGAGTTTTTTATACTGCTTACGTAGACTCTGAAGCTTCACCTTCTTCAATGATGTACCAACGCCATAACATCGTATCAGTGTCCCACACAGTATTCGCCTTCGTTGAATAAACGGTCTTCTTAAAAACATTTGTATCCACACACTGATGGATATATAACAACGCCTTCTAATCCTTCTCCCTCATTTCTCTTTGCGCGTTTCTTTGTGCATCAGTTGCCTCTACTACAACTATCATGTAACCTGTCATTGACGAAATCAAGAACATCTTGAGCGCTAAATAACACACGTATCTAAATCATCCACTGATTCCAATTCTTTCCATCAAATACTAGAAGATTTATGTTCAAGGTACTGTTCGTTCATCTCCATTCTTATGCAAATTAACTCAGATCTCACCAACACTCATGTTTCCCAATCTCTCAGAATTTTGTTCCGATTCTGATCTTCAATTCACTGTGAATTGAATGAGCAAAATCAATTACACACGCCTCACATACACTCGTATTTTCCTGTAAATCTAACCAGAGTTCTAGATACCAATTGTTGGTGCATAAAATTAAAGATGAAAATGGAGAGAGAGAGAGAGAGAGAGAGAGAGAGAGAGAGAGAGAGAGAGAGAGAGAGAGAGAGAGAGTAGGTTTGTAACTAACTTTGTTCTAAATGAAAAACGGTTACAAAATTTTGTTACAAACTACAACTCGAGTTCAGTATTTATACCACCAGAAACAACTAAATGAAAACTCAAATTGAATTGAAATGTAAATGTAGAAAACAAAAAATTGAGAAAAATACTTAATTGGATGCAATATATAAATTAAAATAAAAATAATTTAACCAAATATTTATTTTAATTTGTATTTGTGTCGCCTAAACAATAAACTTAATTTTAAAAATGATTGATTTTGTCATTTTAAAATGAATAGAGAAAATTATACCCCACTTGACTATTATTTGTTTAAATAATATTTTATAAATATCATTTATACAATATTTAAATTGTTGGTTTTTAAGTGCGCCTAAGATATGGCTGAATAAAGTGGATTGCAAATTTTTATTCTTTTATGCGATGATGTTCTTATTTTCTTGTTTATGTATGAATATGAAAGCGATATATACAGAAAATAAAGAATACAAGAGATTTATACTGGTTCTTCTCACACTTTGAGAGTACTCCAGTCCCCTTACCAACATGTAAGAGATTTCTCTATAGTTAGAATTATTGTACAGCCTATCCATATCCAAATGTGATGCTTACTATCTAACCTATAGGGAGATTAAAGACTTTAACTATCCTTTAAGATCCAACCAAGTACATGAAGAACAATCATCTTTAATGTACACACTTGTTTCCAACAATCCTGAAAACAAGGTAACCAATACAAAGTAGAAAGTGAACAATCCTCCCTTAAAACTCTCTTGCTTCCAATAATCCTGGACAACAAGGTTATACCACAATCACTTTGGAAAAAATGATTAGAAACAAATTCTTGAAGTAGATATGAAAGTTTATAATCAATGTCAATATCAAGTATTGATCTCTTCTCTTTCAAGACAACAATTCAATGAATATATTATATAAGTGATCAATGCATATGATAAAACTTTTCTAATGATGTATTTGAAAATGTAAGAGTAAAAGTTTCATGCAAGATCAAAATATTAATCCATGCACTTGTTTGAAAATGAAAAACAAAATGTTTGTATATTGTGATTGTTGTTATTTTGTGTATGTGTGTTTCTACGTCAGAACCATTTGAATTATATACATGTATTGTACCCTTTTAAAATGTTATAAATGAATGTAGAAGTGCAATGATTCATGGACAAATGCAACAAACAAACAACATTCAAAACCGTCTTATTTTTCAAATTCGTTTAAGTGGTAACCGGTTACCAGAATGCAGTAACTGGTTACCCAGTGCAGTAACGTTAAAATATTTGAAATGCTGAAGCCTGTAACCGGTTACCAGAAACCTGTAACCGGTTACCACTATATGAAAAAGTGAAATAACCTTTTTAATGATTTGGAAATACAATTCTAGTGAAATTAAAAGCCATGAAACATATATGCATAACGTCAGACATATTTTGAGCACTATAGTAACATACTATATTGAATTGGAGTCTTGTACGATAATGAAGACCAAATACCAAAGTATTCTTTAAGAGTAACTTAGCATGCAAATTAAAAATCTATTTTGAATAGATATTTTTTCTTTTTTTTTAATAATGTCTTTTGTCTTGATCATGATATTTGTAATCATCAAAGCATAAATTTGCTGAAAAACATAACTCTACAAGTTAAATAATAATAGTAATTAAGCTAAAATATAATTTTAGTTCTTCAATTTAAAAAGATTAAAGTTTTGATTCTCTTAATTTAAAGAATATTTTTTTGTCTCTTAATTAATTTATCTAATTTTACACTATAATTACTTTATTTTTGATGAATTTTAATGAAGTGACCCGACATTATAAAAAGAAAAGGTTACTTAAAAAGTTTAAATTTAGCTGTTAGAAAAAATCACTACTCAATTTGTGGTGCCGAGGCGGTGATCTTTATCTCCGAAAACCGACACCGTTACCGTCACCGAACTGCACTGCGACCGACGAGCACAACCACCTACCAACGCCGCCTTCAACCACCCTTGTTTCGATCTCCACTCTGCTCTGGTTACTCCTTAAGGTAGAACAACATATTCTTTCTAGCAATTACACTTCACAGTAATGTTCTTCCCATACGCATATACAACAATTTCAGTTTACATCATTGTAAATAACTAAATCTTCCATATACCCGTAGATAAGCACATATATGACAAAGGTTTAGATAATTTTAGACAAAATACCTTTTTAGTTCTGAATGTTAAAGTCAATATTTATTTTGGTCTCTTAACTTAAAAAGGTTCATATTGGTCCCTTAACTCTTCAAAATGAAAAAGATGGTTCAAAATCCGCACGGGCCGCAAGTTAAACGGGCAGGTCCATGGACCTCAGTCTATATATAGTTCTAATTAATAGCCTCGACGAATCACATTTGCATCATTTAATCCATATAACTCTAACAAACCCCATCCACACAAAGAAAGCTGTTGCTGTTGGTGCAGTTGAATTGCAGCAATCTTTTAATGATTGTAAAATATGATTTAATATTATGTTTCCTTTCTGACAACAAGGATTATGGGTCTTCACGCATGGACACCAATGATAGCTTACGGGTGGCTAGCTTATGGCATTCAATGCATGCCATCTCTCAGCAATTATCACCTGTTTCTGGTTGTGCAGGAATTGAATTACTCCAACCTGACACATTTGATCTTCATTGCTTCCAATCACTGACAGGTATTATTTTTTTCCATAACTCATCATTCTGTCAGGATTTCAAATTCACATGGTAAGTCAAATGAAGAATGCATGCCAAACATATGGTACATATCACTTATTGGTATATCTAATACCAGTGTTTCCTTTTTAAACACATTGGCATGTAGCCGGCTTGAAGGCACCGTACTGTGCTGTGGCAGGGTTTTAAAATTTAAGGAAAGAAAGTTTAGTAATATTAAAATCAGAAGCTCTAGATGATTATTGGAAACTTAGTTTTATGTGCCTTGGAATTTTACCTGTATGTAATGCCTTGGTCATTTAAGGTGCCTTGGAATTTTACCTATAGCATTATGTTGCTATTCTTTCAGGTTTTCATATGCTATGCTAAGCTAAGCCTTAATGCGGTGAAGCTGCAAATAGTTTGGCATAGCAGTAGCTGTATATATTGGTAATTTATATATTATCATTTGCTAGGATTCTAGGACATGAATTATAATTATGTCAGAAAACTGAACTGAACCGAATTAAATTATAGTAGAAGGTCACCTGAACCGAACCGAACCAAACCATTTCAATTTATCAACAACCGGACCGAACCAAAGTTACTGGTTTGGTATACCGGTTTGGAATTCCGAACTGTATCCAACCATTAGAAGACAGTTTTTTCAAAATCGAACAATTTGTTAAAGAACCGAATCATTATACTCTTTTTTTCGAATATTTTTAATAAAAATTTTAAACTCGGTTTTAGTATTTTTCATTTTCTGTTTTGGTTCGGTTCATTTGTCATCTGGTTCGCTTCTAAAACTGTTTGTGGAAGTTGGGTTCAGTAACCAAACATTACAGTTTGATTATTTTAACTTCAGTTCGGTTGGTTCGACGGGTCAGTTCGTTTAAGTGGTTTTTTTGTACAGTCCTAGTCTGAAGGAAGCTGGAAAGGAATAAAGAATATCTGTACTACACACACTACTATCATTTAGCAGATTTTAAGTAAATCATATCTAAATAGGCCATTGACTTCCACAGGAACAAAGTTTTTTGTGGTCTGTGAACCTGGAACTCAACAAATGGAAAGTTTATTGAAATTCATTTATGAATTGTACACGGATTATGTTCTGAAGAACCCCTTCTATGAGATGGAGATGCCTATTCGATGTGAGCTCTTTGATATCAACTTAGCTCAGGCAGTACAAAAGGACCGTGTTGCATTGCTCGGTCGATAAATCACTATGGATCTGGCAAGTGTTGTTTTCCAAAAATTGTTTTAGACTTTCTTGTATGAGGTGCCACTCTCTTTTATTACTTATAATACAAATTTTAAGATACCAATATCTGAGAGTAGCCATTTCCTACCACTTTTTTCAGTACAGACGAGAGATGTGTTTATGTAAATCATCATTCACCGCTATTAACTTGGTCATATTTTTCTGTTCCGTACAAAATTAATCATACATCTAGCAGGCAATATGTAGTCAAATTTGAGAAATTTGCTTGAAGGTGTTTGCTGAAAATATAAGCATCATTTGGAACACTTCCTTAGATGCTTCTCATTGCGTCAATCCTTCTCCGGTACATTTTTAATATAGTTATAAAAATATGATGTTGCCATTACCACATGTTATGTATTGCAAACCTACAAGTTATTTTTAGGATAATTCTGTAAATAAATATGCTTGGGCTGAATGTAAATATAAACAAAATATCCATTATTAGAGAATCAGTCCATATATTCGCCAGATCCCACTAGATATTACTGGCAAGAGAGACAATGAGACATACATAGAGAGAAAAAAAAAATAGCTTACATAAATACACATATGCATGCATGATGCATTGGTCGATTTTATTTTGTGGCGTAGAAGACATTCAAAGCCAAGGGGAGTTGTAAATAGGTGTTACAACAGATTTAACTTGTAAGTACTTGTGAAGAGCTTCTAATCCCAAATCTCTTCCAAATCCACTCATTTTATATCCTCCAAAAGGAATGTCACTTCCCAAGGCTAAATAAGAGTTGATCCAAATAACGCCTGCACGAATGGACCTTGACACAGTGTTTGCAATATCCAAATTCTTGGTCACAATGCCTGCTGCTAGGCCATATCTGGTATTGTTAGCACTCTTAATGGCTTCCTCAATAGTCCTGTCATTCACATGTCATACTTAAATCGACCATTCACCGACACACCTCTAAACTCTTTATGATACTAAAAGAGCAAAAGGATTTAAAATTAAAATGTAACTTACTTAAACTTCATCAGTGCCATCACAGGGCCAAATATTTCATCCTTTGCTATAAGCATGTCCTCCTAATATAGGTAATTCAATGTTTTTAATAAGATAGAAAGGAAAGAAAACACCATGGTTAATTATCAACCTATGTGATAAAGATACCAAATTGAAACTTTGATGGAATATAAACTAATTTTACCTTTACATCGGAGAAAATTGTAGGTTCAATGTAGTAGCCATGGCTGCCCACTGCTTTACCTCCAGTCAAGAGTGTAGCTCCTTCTTTCTTTCCATGCTCAATATAGGAAATAATTTTTTCAAATTGGTTCCTATCAGCCTACAATAGAAAACTGTTATTAAGCCAACCAAGTAGGGTCCTCATTTGACTTTTTCTGCAAGCAATTAGGTATATTTTAAAACAATAGAGTTAATAGAAAATATGTGGTTTTGTAAGCGAAGCCGGGATGGTACTAGACCGTGGGAGTATTTGATGTGTTTGAGCGTGGATTCGAATATGCAATACCTTTCTTCTCCCCACTTAGTGTGAGCTATGCCACTAGAGTTTTATAAATAGTTTTAACATAATTAATGTCTTACTATATATTGTCCTTTTCCTATGAATATCTTGCAATCCTATTTGAATTGTTTAAGACCCTGTAGACATCTTTTTTAGCAGGAATTCCAACTATGGTTCAGTGGCTGTGGAAGAGTTATCCCTTTCTTTAGACCATTAAATATTAATTTTACCTGAGGTCCTTGTTGAGTTTTAGGATCAAAAGGATCCCCAACGATCCAAGCTTTTGCTTTCTCCACCAACTTCTTCTCAACTTGATCATATATCCCTTCCTGAACAAACACACGGGAGCTTGCGACACAAACTTCTCCCTGAAAAAACCACAAGTTTAGAAATAAAATGTTCGCTAGGCAGAGATCTAACAGAGGATGCTCTTTGTAAGGAAAGGGGTTTAGGAAGGCGAAATTTCACCTTGTTAGTTAGGAGACCGAAAAGAGCAAGCTCAGCAGCTTTGTCGACATCAGCATCATCGAAAATAATGAGAGGTGACTTGCCTCCTAGTTCTAGTGAAACATGTTTTAAATTACTCTTAGCTGCAGCTTGCATTATTTCACGGCCTACTTCAACCGAACCAGTAAAGCTAACCTGAAGATACAAGAATCAAAGGTCATAAGTTAATTACAAACTTGGTAATTGAACTTATAAATGTTTGACATATTATGTAATTAACTTGCCACATCTATGTCCATGTGTGAGCTAATTGCAGCACCAGCAGTTGGTCCAAATCCAGGTACTACATTCAACACTCCATTTGGGATTCCAGCCTTTAAAAAACATTCAGATCCATTTAGTCTATGGAAATTTAATGTACTAATCACCACGCCAAAGCGTGGACACTAATGCGTGCATAGATCCACGCTATTGCGAGAGTATAACTGGTTGCTCTCCCGTCCACGAGATAGATGGCTCCCTGATCTTGCTTTGACAGACTCGTCACAATGAAGTGTGACATTTGTCATACCAAACCGTGTCCACACATTGGCGTGGAACTCGATAATTGACATTAATATATAGTATGTCGGTACTTACTAGCTTAGCTAGATGAGCATAAAACAAAGCTGAGAGAGGTGTTTGTTCAGCAGGTTTGAGGACCATGGTGCAACCAGCAGCTAAAGCAGGACTAACTTTGGTGAAGAAAAGTGAACTAGGAGCATTCCATGGAATGATATGTCCCACAACTCCAATTGGTTCCATTAATGTGTAAGCATGGAATTGGCCAGAAGATTTCAATACCTCTCCATGAATTTTATCTGCAGCACCTGCATAGTAACGTAGTGTATTTGCTGCAGAGGGAATTTCTATAACCTTTGCAATATAGTATAACTTTCCAGCATCAATTGCATCTAATGCTGCTAGTTCTTCTGTGTTTTCATCAACTAGTTCTGCAAATTTCATCATTATTTTTGCCCTTTCCTGGTTATAGTTATTACCGCAGTATTAATTTAGAGGGAAATGAAAGTGAATAGAAAATATTCAATCTAGGAAAACCGAAAAAGAATAAGTAACTTACAACGCCAGACATTCGTGGCCATGGACCTGAGTCGAATGCCTCGCGCGCTGCTTTAACTGCTATGTCAATGTCTTCTTTAGCTCCTTCACTGATTCTTGCAATCACCTCTCCTGCTCTTGGGTCTATTGTCTCAAATGTTGTTCCTAATTTTTCATTAAAATTCCACTTCTTTTTGAAATCAATGTCATATAAAAAAGAAATAAAACTATAGTTATATTTGTTACTATCTTCATCATTAAATATAAGAGTGTTGAGTAAAACATGATCATAAACAAATGGCGAGTTATGTAATCAAAAGTGAAGACTTATGATTGTCATTAGGATTATTTATCTATAAATAATGGTTGAAGGCATTGTAACAGAGGCTACTTCACCATTTTTAGAAGAGTCATATCTACTAAATGATTGTCATATAAATAATTGTTGAAGTTGCTTAAGCTTTTGTAATTTAATTCCCTTCACTTTAGGTTTTACGCATCTTTACATTCAATCACTTTTACATTTTATGGCATTTTACGTTTTTTTTCCATATTTGTTTTTCAAGTTGTTTTCATTCTTGCTAATTTAAATTAGATTTGCATGTTAAAGAATTAAGAATTATAATGAGTTATATGATCAAATTAGTATGTTTGAAACCTTAGATGAGTAGACAATTGGCTAATAACAATTTATTTTGAAATAAATTATTATAAAAAATGATATGATATTCTGATTGAATGATGAAATATGTACTCAACCAAATTCTAAAATGTGATTTTCACCTAATTCAAAAGATTTTGAATAAAAATAGAATTGGAAATTAAGTCCGAATAGAAATCGGAAATTAATTTCCGATTTTATCCGTTTTATCAAATCCTTATACGTCTCAGAAATATATGTTTGATTTTAAACATTTTTGTAATTTCGCGTAATACGTTAGAAAACTTTGAAAAAAAAAAAATTCTTAATTTTATTAGTGCAAGGTGATGAAATTGAGGTAGAAGAGAAAAAAGAATAAATGTTATAAGCTGTCACAAATGATTGAAGAGAATTGATTGTATTAAATGTAAAACTAGTACACCTATTTATACAAAAGAGTAGTAAAGATAAGAATGTCACATAGGGCCTAAAGGAAATATCCTACATATGATAAATACTAAATTATCCTCTAATACCATCCCGTGATTTAGTAACTATCAGAAGTTAACAACACCAATTTCATCTCTCAAGCGAAGAAATTAATCTGTTTTTATCGCATTTGTCAGAACATCTGTCAGCTGCTTCTGAGTGCTACAGTGCAGAACTTCTAACACTCCTTTCTGCATTTGACTTCTGAGAAAGTGATACTTCGTCTCAATGTGCTTGCTTCTTCCATGTAGCACTGGATTCTTGGCAAGATTAATTGCAGACTTATTATCAATCATCAGCTTCAGAGGTTCCTCAACTTCAACCTTCAGATCATGCAGGAGATTCAGAAGTCAAACTGCTTGACAAGCAGCTACAACACCTGTAATGTATTCAGCTTCACATGTTGACAAAGCCACAATAGGCTGTTTCTTGGAACTCCAAGAAATTGGACCTCCCAGAAACTTGAACAAGTATCCAGAAGTACTTCTTATGTCAACTCTATCTCCACACCAATCAGAATCAGAATAACTCAGAAGTTCTGATTTGATCTTTCTTCCAGAAGAAAATAACACTCCATATTTCAGAGTTCCTTTTACATACCTCAGAATCCTGACAACAACTTGGTAATGAGACCACTTTGGTTTGCTCATGTATCTGCTGACAATTTCAACTGCATAGCAAATATCAGGTCTGGTATTACACAAATACCTCAGAGAACCAACCATCTGTTTGAAGGTTGTAGCATTCACATCCTCTCCATTAGAATCAGAGTCCAACTTCTGATTCGTATCAGCAGGTGTGATAGCAACCTTGCAATTTGCTAGCTCAAATTTCTTCAGAAGCTCTAGTTCATACTTCTTCTGGTGTAAAATGATTCTTTTTTTAGAGTATATAAATTTCATCCCTAGAAAGAAACTCATTTTTCCAAGATCTATCATCTCAAACGCATTCATCAGAACTTTCTTGAACTCAGCTGTTTCTTGTTCAAAATTTTCTGTGAGTAATATGTCATCAACATACAAACAGACCAGAATCATATTACCTTCTGAAGTGTGCTGAATATAAACACCATACTCCATCTCACACTTCTGAAACCCTTGTTCCTTGAAAAACGAATCAATCTTTAAATTCCAAGCTCTGGACGCTTGCTTCAGTCCATACAGAGCTTTATTTAACCTGTATACCATCCCTTCCTGATTTTTTTCCACAAATCCAGGAGGTTGTGACACATAAACTTCTTCTTGTAATGGACCGTTCAGAAATGCATACTTCACATCCAGATGTATCAAAGGCCAATTTCTGTTTGCAGCTAAAACAATCACTAGTCTGATTGTTTTGTGTCTAGCTACAGGCGCAAACACCTCAAAATAATCTAGTCCAGGTTTCTGAAGAAAACCTCTGGCCACTAGTCTCGCTTTGTGTTTGCCAATTGATCCATCCGGCTTTAGCTTCTGCTTGAAAACCCATCTGACGTTGATGACTTTCTTGCCTTTTAAAAGTTCTGTCAGCTTCCAAGTCTTGTTTCTTTCAATAGCCTCAAGTTCTTCTTTCATGGCATTCAACCATACTTTCTTCTTGAGAGCTTCTTCAATATCCACTAGTTCAGAATCTACTAGCATGACACACTGAACGATTTCTCCTTCAGAATCTACTCCAGTATCATGCAACATGCTAAAATTTGCAAACCTACTCGGTATTCGTCTGATTCTCTGTGGCCTCTGATTTTGTTCTGAAGCTTCTCCAGAACTCGGAACAATGCTAGCTTCTGGACTTTGTCCAGAATTATTTTCTTCAGAATTACCACCTTCAGAGTTACTTCTGGAAACTTGTTCTCCAGACCCCATGTCCTCAGAGTTTTCCCTTCCAGAAGTATAATCACCACCAGATTCTGGATCATCGTCAGAATCTAGATCAGAATCAAATCCACTATCAGAATCTCCCTGAGATTCTGACTCATCTTCAGAGTCTTCATCTTCTAACTCTGACTCGTTTTCAGAACTTTCTGAAGAATCAGAAACTAACCCTGCTGATTTCAACTTTGTTGGTTTCTGGACAATAAAGCTTATAGGCACCTGTACAGTGGTACCCCACCAGTAACATTATTTTGCTTCTATCATCCAGTTTTCGTCTTCTAGCCTCTGGAACATGTTTGTAGCATACAGAACCAAACACCTTCAGGTGGCTAACATTTTGCTTGTCTCCAGTCCATTTTTATAAAGAAATAATTTCCTTCAGCTTCTTTGTTGGACACCTATTCAGAACATATGCTGATGTGGCAACAACTTCTCCCCATAACATGTGAGGTAACTTCTTCTCTTTCAGCATACTTTTGGTCATATCAAGCAAAGTTCTGTTTCTTCTTTCAGCAAGATTGTTGTGCTGAGGAGTATATGGAGCAGTAATCTCATGTTCTATTCCATTCTCCTCACAGAACTTCTGGAATTCTGTAGATTTATACTCACCTCCACCATTTGTTCTCGGAATCTTCAGCTTCTGACCACTCTGCTTCTCAGCCTTCACCTTGAACTTCTGGAATTCAGTAAACACTTCATGCTTGAACTTGATGAGTGTTACCCATGTCATTCTTGTGAACTCATCCACAAAAGACACAAAATATTTGTTTCCTCCAAGTGAAGGTACTGGAAATGGTCCACACACATCAGAATGCATAACTCCCAGAGCATGCTTCGCTCTGGGGGATACTTCTGATGTAAATGGCAATGTGGGTTGCTTGCCTTTCATGCATATCTCACATGACTTCTGAGGCTTCACAATCTTCGAAATGCCATGTACGAGCTTCTTAGAACTTAGATGCCCTAAGCTTCTATAGTTCAAGTGCCCCAACCTCTTGTGCCACAGCTTACTGTCAGCTTCAGTGCCTTCTGCACTAAGACACTCTGCTTTAGAAGTTTCTACATTCACCTTGAATATTCTGCTGCTTCTCTGCTCAGACTTCATAATCAACTTCTGATTAGAATCATACAACGTCAAGAGGTTTTCCTTCATAACCACTGAAAAACCTTTCTCAATAAGCTGACTCACACTCATCAGATTGCTTTTAATTCCAGGAACATATCAAACATCTTTGATCAGAATATTTTTTTCATTCTTCACTGACTCTGATATTTCCCATACCTTCTACATTAAGGTACTTATCATCAGCACATCTGATCGTTGTTCTCCTTCTGGAGTCAAAGTCTATCAGCCATTGTTTGTTCTCAGTCAAGTGGTTTGAACAGCCAGTGTCCATATACCACCAATCTTCTGAACAGTTTCCATCAGAATCAGAAGCCATCAGCAACACAGGTTCATCATCAGAATCTCCTCTGGCTATATTTGCTTCTTCTGATATCCTTCCTCTGTTTCTATAATCTCTGGCAAAATGGCCAAACTGTTTACAACAGTAACATTGAACCTTCTTCTTGTCATACCTTTCCTATCCCTTCTGATATTTCTTTTCATCAGAAGTTGAGGTTTCTGACTTCTGGAATTTATCACCACGTCTATTCTGCTTCTGGTCCTTCTTGACAAAAGAAGCTTTCAGAGCTTGCTCCACTTCCCTCTCAGAAGTTCTTTCAATCAGACGCAACTCTTGCGCTTCTAGACTGCTTTGCAACTCTTCTATTCTCATGGTTTCCAGATTTTTAGAATGTTCAATAGAAACAACAATGTAATCAAACTGAGGAGTAAGTGACCTCATAATCTTTTCTATGATTACCTGTTCAGAAAGTGTTTCTCCATAAGATTTCATCTCATTAGTGATCAAAATCATTCTGGAAATGTACTCAGAAACTTTCTCACTGTTCTTCATGCTGAGATTTTCATATTGCTTTCGCAGGGACTGAAGTTTTACCTTCTTTACTGACACGTCACCACCATAACATATGGTCAGTATATCCCATGCCCCTTTCGACGTCGTCGAATCAACAATCTTCTCAAACACATTTTCATCCACACACTGATGGATAAAGAACAAATTTTTTTGATCCCTCTTCCTCGTAGCTCTTTCTTCTGATTTTTGTTCTTCAGTAGCATCTGCTGCAACTGAAACATAACCTTCATAAACAAGGTCCAGAACATCCTGAGCACCAAACAACACACACATTTGTATCTTCCACTTGTTCCAGTTTTTGCCATCAAAAACTGGAAGTTTAGTGTTCAAACTAATGCCTCCATTCATCTTAAACCTTGCACAAAAACTCAGATCTCAGATTCTCACTCAGTGTTTCCCAAACCCACAAAATCAGTGTAATTCTGTTTCAGATTTTTGTTCAAGATTCAAAAATCAAACACACAGCTCACTATCACTCGTGTTTCCCAGAATTTCAGAACAAACCAAGAACTCTAGATACCAATTTGTTAGTGTAAGGTGATGAAATTGAGGTAGAAGAGAAAAAAGAATAAATGCTAAAAGCTGTCACAAATGATTAAAGAGAATTGATTGTATTAAATGTAAACCTAGTACAACTATTTATACAAAAGAGTAGTAAAGATAAGAATACCACATAGGACCTAAAGGAAATATCCTACGTATGACAAATACTAAATTACCCTCTAATAAATTTAAACTATGCATAATATTGTGTTTGGTCGGGTCTATGAATGTGTTATGACCTAAATAGAATCAAGTTATAAAGAATTTTAGATCTTAATTTGTTCAACGGTAATCAGTTCTATTATATTTAGGATGTGGCTATTACGTACAAAATATTCAAGTTCGAATTAGTGTTACTTTATCTTGAAATATAAAATTAATCTTAAAATAAAAATACAAATAACAAATAGTAAACACAATATTACCTATACCTGTGTTAGTTAATAACCTCGTCGACAGATATTAAAATCTAAATTAAATTTAAATGAAATTTATTCAAAATTTATAATAGTATTTTTCATATGTACTAGATACAAATAATCTATTTATTTATTTAGTATAATTGTTTTTTTAATTAATAAAAAGTTATACAATTTTATATTTATTAATAATTATTGAAATAATAAAATTTGACTATTTTTATCAAGTAAATTATTTATATTTTAAAATTTTGAAACAATTGGTTTGACAATTTTATTTTTATGATTATCGTTTGACAAACAACTCTAAAATCTGTTTCGAATAAAACTGACAATCAACGTATTTTCATTTAATTTATTTTTGATAATTTTTATTTTCTATTCTCTAAGATGGTGAATTTTTTTACAAAAAATTCAAAACCTCATCTGTAATAATGTTATTTTTCATAAAACTGTGACCGTAATTTTTGAAAAAATAATTATATAATTAAAGAAAACTAGAGATGCAATTTTCTGTAAAATGAATTTTTTACAACAAAGAAAAACTATTTATTGTGTCATATAGTGATATTGTTAGTTTTGGTTTTGAGATATATGGTAAGATCCTACAAATATTTAAAATAAATTCTAAGAACCTGATATAGAATCAACAAAATCTCCATTGATGAACAATTTGTTATACTTGATGGTTGGTATTTTGAGCAAGGAAGTGTTGTTGCTAGAGTTGAGTTCAGTCATGTTGTGTGATTGATAGTGATTAGTGAAGATAGCTAGAAATTAAGTTGGTTTATATGAGCAATTTCTAGGTTAATCATTATATTATACACATTAAGAAAAGCATTAGTGATGGAAAAAGTGATTTTTATAGCTGACAATGACTGTGTTCCTACTGTAAATGCAATAACCAAGATCTAATTAATAGTTAAGAATTAAATTCTAGGTGAAATTCATCTCTAATAAGTATTATTTTTCATTTTTATAAAATTAATTTTGATTTAATTTTTATATTTTGTGATAAAATAATTGTTCTGGACTGGGCCCGGCTGGCCCAATAGCATTGATGAGGCCCAATTCAAACGGACTTGCTGGGGGTCACGCCGACCAAAGGCTCGCAGCCGTGTCCGACGTACTCTCTGGAGCAACTTGCTCGACCTCCTACTGCCCAGCTCGACTTCACCTCGAGCACCCCTTCTAGGGCAGACTCAGTCCACTGCACTCTCAGCGGGACTCCGAAAAGACCGCGCCTCTGTCCGCCCGCACTTCACGCAGAACATCCAGAGAGGGAACCACGTGCGGGTCCCCACTGCGCACGTAGAACCTGGCAGTTTCTCCATTGGGCCAAACCTGCCCGGCCCAATGAAGGAACCTTGGCCCAGCGCTGGGGGCTATAAATATCCTCTGTTTCCAGAGGGTCAGGTATTCATCATTCTACCCATACTTACTATTGCCTGCTCATGCTCTTACTTATTTCAGCATCGGAGTGTCTTGCAGGTACCCCCACCTCGTTCAAACTTTCAGCTCGGAGCCAGCCGTGACGGTTCAAGTCTGATCAGGTCAGATCAATAATCAAACAAGAAAAAAAGAGTTTGTCAACGTAGTCAAATAATTGCACGTTTTTATTAATTTATTCTCTCAAATTAGTTAGGGAACATAAATCAAATAAAAAAGTGTGTACACCCCTTATGTGTTTGAATAAAAAAATAAGACTAGTGTCCAAGAAAACATTAAAGTATAATTGTAAAAAAAAAGGCTAAATATTAAGAGATTAAATATTTGATAGTGTATGTATGATTAAGGGTGAGTGGGATGATTAAATTAATAAATATAAATTATTTGGATGATTGTCACTTTATATATCTAAAAAGCAATTGTAAGAAATTGAATAACTATATCTAAAAAGTAATATTGTAGGAAAAAGAAGACAAAACTTAATGGCAGAAGGTGAAGTGACAAATAAATAAAGGGAAGGTGGTTATTTGGTATGAATTAGGTGATCATATAATTGAAAAAAAAAATAGGGCAAGCAAATTATGATATTATTACCCGTTTGATTTTGATCAGATGAATAGAAAAAATGCGAAAAAGTGTGATTGTCATTAAAAAAAATTGTTGATAGTACAAAATTGCATCCATTGGTTTAAAATTTATTAAAAAATTTACATTTGCAAGTCTACTACATGGTTATTAAGAAACTAGAGAGAAAAAAAAGATTTTCCCTAAAAATGAAGACTTCATAACTGACATATTCTTTCTAAAGACTAAGACTTGATAACAAATTAAGACTTCATAACTGGCATATTATTTCTAAAGACTAAGACTTATAATAAAATAAAGACTAAAACATAAATATAACAAATAATTTTTTATATCCCCTTCCTTAACTTACTTCATCTAGCTTACTTTAGTAGCTTTCAGTTACTTCAAACATGTCAAAGAGCTTCTCAAATTACTTAAATTTTATTGGTTTTGTTATGATATTTGCAATTTGATCCTGAGAGTTGCAGTAACTTACTTCAACGACACCATCATTCACTAAATCTCTTAAAAAATAAAACCTTACATTATTATGCTTGTTTTTTTCATGAAACATTTGATTCTTGGATAACTGTATAGTAAAGTTGTTATCACACATAATTGTAGTTCTTGTCTTCTCTTCAACTCCAAGTTTCTCTAATACCCTTTTGAGTCAAACACACAAGCAGACAATATTCATCGCAACCAAGAAAAGAATACATGAGTCGGTTATACAAGAGGAAAGTATTAACATCCCTCACATTCATCGTATTTGATGAGAATCATTTAGTTCGTGTGTGTTCGAGTGGTAGTGTGATAATTACAATCTTCTACTTAGTGATCGAGAAATGATAAAGAAGAAGGGTTTTGTTTTTTAGTTTGTTGAGTCTGATAAGATTCACATACTGTGCTTACGTACTCCCTCGTACAATGGAAAAGTCAGAACTTCATAGTTGTTCTAAAAAAGACCAAAAATTTATTGGTTGATTTAGAAGAATCATGCGTTAGAAATTTCAAACGTTTGAAATTCGACTTGTTTTGCTCGTATGAGAGACTTAAGTCTTTGTATTCGTTTCGTATTGAAATGGCTAAAACACGTTCCTTTTGAAAAGGGTTTGAAGTTGCACAAGGGAGAAAAAGAAAGTTTGATGAGTTGAGTTGTTTTTATAGGATACGAGTGTGTGAAATACTAAGGGACGTTCCTCGTACTCAAACACTTAGGGCAAGATAAGGCATGCATCCTAACCCTCCCATTTAATATTTTAATATGAAAATAGAGAGACATATTTGGTTAAAAGTGTTTTAGTCAGATCGTCATTAATCAATACAAGTGATGCGACTTGTCCTTGATTAATTTAGGAAAAGATAATACAAGCACCCATCTCTTCCATTCAATCCTATTTATTTAAGAAAAAGTTTTTTGAAAAGAAACTCGACGTTGGATCGAAGTTTGAAACTTTATTATGAAAATGTTTTAAGTGGAGAATGAGAGAAAAGGTCGATTGTGATTGCAAAAGCAAAGTCGACTTATCAAGTTGGTGAGGGGCTTGGTATATGGACCAAGCATATATGGAGTGGTTGATTGTGATTGCCAAAGTACACTCGAGTTATCAAATTGGTTGTGAGCTTGATATATGGACCAAGACCCTAAGTACCCGAACACAAATTAAGTCTCACAACAACAACGAATAGTGCAATTACAAGAGGGAAAAGAACCAAGAGAGTGAGATCTTCCATATAACAAAGATAAAGACGTAAAAAGAGCAAGGGAAGTACCAATAGGAGCAAATCCAAAATGGTCTGGCGGCAGTGAGAATGGTAAGCCTTCGATCTCCCCTTCACACTCCTCCTCCATTCACAGTCCTTCTTATCTTCTATTCAAATATGTTGTATGTTTGTTGTGGTGTGGTGTTGTTAGGAAATACTTGTGTTGTCTGTGCATTGGGTTTGTTGAAAGGTTGAGTTTCAGAGGGATTTGGAATGAGGTTGCAGGGTATGATTTTTTTTAGGTGTAATTTTGTTTCAGATTTGAGGGTATTGAGAGTAGAGTAAGGGAATGGCTTTTTGCATAGATTTAGGGATGTTTTTTGCAGGGATTATGAGGAGAGTTTCTGAACTACGGTTGAAGGGTGTGCAAAAGGTTTGTTGTTGAAGGTGTGATGAGGTATTGAGAAGGATGAAGGTTTATTGAAGATAGAGGTATGTGCAGAGATTTCTGTGTGCCTCCCTTTCTTTTATGATATTGTTGTTATTAAATAGACTGTGAATGAGAGTTTGCTGAGAGGTGAGATAAATTTGTTAGAGGGTGAGAGAAAACAACGCCATAAAATTCTTGTTAGGGTGTGAGGAGTGTGTCATACCCCAAAATTTCCCTACTCTTATTTATGCTTAGGTCTCCTTTAAATAAATCGTATTATTTAATTTTTATTTTTTATGGGGAGGTTAAAGCATAAAATAGGAGAGTGTCTATTTAAAATGGGCCATCAATATCTGATAGCCCATTAAGATTTAAAATAAGAGCCCATTTATAATGAAGGGAAGTGTATTCTTTTAGAAGGTGTGAACAAGCTCTTTAAAATAAAGCCCATTGAATTTCATTCATTTTTTTGGTGTACAAAAAAATTCTGTTTTTGCTAAGGTCCAATGCTATTAAAATGGTATGGCTCAGTCGGTTTTTAGTTTGTTTTTATTCTTCTTAAAACATTATCATTATAATTAAATCGTTGATTATTCTTGATATTGTTACATTATTGTTAACGCTGTTTGTTAATTACACCAATTTTAATTAAAACAGTATACTAAGGACATAAATTGAGAATTAATTTTTTGTTTTATTGATTAAAATAGTATTAGTAAGAAATTTTCCTTTTCTTGTTACAGCCTAAAAAGATGGCAATACTTTTTTTGGAGAATCAGAAAATTGAAAAGCTTGGCCCATTTCTATTTTTTGGGAAAACTGTTTTTTTATTACTGATTTTTTAAAGTTGTTTGTTAGAACTAACAGGCCCAACAACCAGAACACCTGGCCCAATACAGTTTCAGTTCAATAAAAAAGAAGTGCTTTTACTAAAAAACTTTGTAATTTTGGCTTGTTAATTTTTTTGTTTTCATTTGCTGATAAAGAAAAAAAGGGCACATCCGGCCCAATCCAAACCAAGATGCGTATGGCCCAATTATATCACAAACTATTACTATAGATATCAAGAAAGCAGAATTTCACAGAAATTGGAGTTAAAACGTAGAATCAAAGCAGAAACGACATTAAATCTAGAAACAAATTTCAACTAAACTGGAAACATCATTCATTACAAAACAGAATCATATCACCTAATACAGATCGTATCAATAAACGTTCTTAAAGTTACAGACAGTGATTTCAAATTACATCCTAAATCGAAAACCTAATCAATACAGAATTCAATTGTAGACAAGATTCAAAAACATTCCTAACTTCTGAAAACCTAATTAATCTATTCCCTAATTCGTTTCATCTAAAAAAAACTATAAATTAGAGATTATAGTAAGGAGGAAGGGGGACGAAAAACAAAAAGAAGATACAAATTGTTGCAGCAAAGCATTCCGTGACGAAGAACGAAGCCTCGACCCGCTTCGCCCAAAGCACATATTCGCCATTTCTGCCTTCACCATAAGTCGTCTCCGTCACACTATCGCCTCACAGCACCGTCAAAAGGCGAAAGAAAAAGGAATTAGAAAGAGTCACAGAA